ACGCATAGATAACATGGGATTCGACCACTGCTCTCTTCCTCCTGTTACCTACCTCTGTTCATGACAGTGCCTCCACTTGACTTCATGCTCTTCACACACCACCACTAGCCCCAGCATCATAATTTGCTTGTGTCCTGTCAGTTCTCTTTGAAATGAGTCTTCTGTTCCCTTTTTTCATTTCGAACCTAATTTAGGGTCCCATTAATGCCCAGCTATACTGACCTCTCTGTGTCCAGTTTATCACGATAATCCTAAAGCCCAGCTAAGTCACTCTCCAGAAGCTTTTAGGCTGCCTTTTATCTTAGGATGAAGGTCAAGCTCCTGAGCTTAGCATTCAGGTCCCCTGAGGAGCTTACTCTCCTGCCCATCCTTCCAAGCACATCCCTGCCACTCCCCCTCATCTGATTGCTCTGTGCTTTTGAAATTATCCTGTACTTTTAGTCTTGCCCCATCCTAATATCTACTCCAGTCAATCCTGTTCATCCTTCCCTTTTTCCTTCCCTGCTTGTATGTCACTGGATCTTCCTGGTGGGTAGAGTTAGCTGCCAAGGGGCACCTCCCAGGACCTTTGTGCATCATAAATGTGTGTCTTCTCCATCCGAAGTCCAAATCCTCTGCTTGTGACGGACAATTGGTCACTATGGCAACTGACTGTGACGTCACAGGATAAGGACTTCAGGTGAAGTGGCAGGAGCAGGTGAGTATGTAGGAGACAGATTTCAATGTCTGTTGAAGGCCCCCCCACACCCTCCTTCAGTGCCGGGGGCATGGAGGGATATCTCGGGCTCCTGCTGTTTTTTAAAATGATGCGGTGAGAGTGTGTGCCTGGCATCTGCGTGCTGCAGCAGTGTGGGGCTGACAGAGTGTGTCAACTTGAGCTCTGGCTGTGCAGGCACCGCTGCTGCGTGAGCCTGTTATTCCATTCTGGATTGCTATTTTGATACCCAGATTGCATCATTCTTCCTACGTATAAACAGGGGGTCCCCAGGGCACTGCAGCTACTCACTTCTCCACCAACACTGTTGTTGTGATGAGCTCTATTTAAATGAGCTGCCGGATCGGGGCAGGTTCCAGCCACACATGAGCACTGTCATTTTGGGGAACATGGAGGGCTGAAGGATTTTTGGATGGAGTCCTAAAAGGCTGAGAGTGATGTCTCCCGAGCTGTGCAGAGGGCGACAGAGCTAGTTCCTGAAAGTTGGAAATGTCGTTTTCTTCCTTCTGAGCTTCTATTCCAAGGCACCCAGAGGATTAGGAAGGAGATGCAGCTAGGAAGAGAGTCGCCTCTTTGAGGTCTCCCTCTTGCTGTTCAGTGTGGGAAAATTGCTGCAGAGCCTTCGAGATAAACAGAAACAGGAGGAGTCAACCAAGCCCTTTCTTGCAGGATTATCTCAGGTGAGCTAGAGAAATGCAGCCCTGGCTGAGGATGCATCAGAGAAGGGAGGAGAGGATCCAGACTGCTCCCCTTACCCTGTCTAGTATCCACTCCCCAAGGCTTTGGCCTTGCAGCCCGGCTGGCTGCAGCATGCAGGGTGGGTGTTCCTGGGTGCTTGGTAAGCACCATCCTCTGGGACCTGTGGTGGTCTCACCTGTCGCTCTTCTGACTTCTCTCCCAGGTGTTACTCTAATCGTGGCAGCAGGGCCACAGGTAAGCCTGCTGGCAGCTGGGGCAGAAGCACTAGTCACTTTAGGGGTGACTTGGATAAAAATTTGTCTGTCTAGCAGGGACTGGGTATTTGGGGTTTGGGTGCAACATGTTTCTTGAAGGTGGTGCCGCTCTCAGTGGTGGGTCGGAGGAAGCCTTCGGGGGCTGTGTGGCGGGGGCCTTGGCTGGTGCTCAGTAGAATGGGGCTGCCCTGGGGGTGGGAGGGCAGAACTGTTAGTGAGGATGTGCAGCCTGCCAAAGGATACAACTAGAGTGGTTTTTCTGATTGCTTAGTGTCTGACAGAGGCGTAGAGAGGTAGAGCATCTTCCCTGTGGCTACAGAGGTAATCAAAGACTGCTTAGTGGTTCAGCGTATCACATATGTTATACCAAGGCTATGTGGATTTAGCTAAGCCCCTCTCCATCTCAGGGCCTTCATCATCATCTGCGTGGTGGGTATTGGCCAGATGAACAGTGAAGTTCTGTCCAGCTTTGGATCTGCAGATTGGAACTAGCAGAGGAACATCAGGCTCCTCCAGAGGATTCAATTGCTCTGTTGGAGTCAGAGCTTGGACCCCAGCTCCAAGCTACCTGGAGCCCTGGACAAGAGCTGTAGAATGAAGGGCTTCCCAACCCTCAGGGGGTTGCTTAGCATTGGTGTCAGGCTTACGCGATGTATGTTTCCTCACTTGGTGGCCTAAACTAACCTGATACCAGCTTTCTGAGACCTCTTTGGGATTTCTCTCCTCCCCTACCTCCCGGTGTCCATGTTGCCTTGGCCTTGCTGTTCATGTCTGAAAGGTAGACTACCCAGTGTGAACCCCACTTCCTTGCTGCCTCACTAAGTCCTACGCTCAGCACATGTTCTAGGTCCCAGCAGCGGTCCTTGTAGTGCTAAACCTCAGGCTGCACTCTAGGCCTGCTTATGGGTCCTGCAGTTGAGCTGGGAGTCTGGCTCCCACCTCAGTGCCAACGGGCAGGGCACAGGGGTATCAGGTCACTACCTGTCTGTTGAGGATCTGCCCTTTTCTCTGCCAGAGAGGAACTACATCACACCTGAATTCAGAGTCTTTGTTAACTTCTTAGAGTTTCTTTTTAAAACTGGGCTAGCCTGCCTTTCTTAGCTGCATGATACAGGGGACGGCTATCAGGCTCAGCCACAGGGAGAAGGGAGTGCTCTCTGAAAGGTGCCGGGTCTCAAACTTGGTTGTACATTGTATCATTGTATTCGCCTGGGGATTCTTTTTTTTTTTTTTTTTTTTGGCTGGAGTCTCACTCTGTCGCCCAGGCTGGAGTGCAATGGCACGATCTCGGTTCACTGCAACGTCCGCCTTCCGGGGTCAAGTGATTCTCCTGCCTTAGCCTCCTGCGTTACTGGGATTACAGGCACGTGCCACCATGCCCGACTAATTTTTGTGTCTTTAGTAGAGACAGGGTTTCACCATGTTCGTCAGGCTGGTCTCAAACTCCTGACCTCATGAACCCCCCCGTCTCAGCCTCTCAAAGTGCTGAGATTACAGGCGTGATCCACAGTGCCTGCCCTCACCTGGGGAGTTTTTTACACATGTAAAGTGCCTGGTTCAGAGAGTGGTGGTATACAGATGTAAATTTGTCTCATGCCTTTCAAGGACCAGAAGTATTTGTACTTGTGACAGATGGACTGAATGTCCTCAGCTTTCAGAGCTGCTCTCCTAGGCTCCTAGGCTTTCAGGAGCATCTCTGGTGTCTGTGACTTCCTTATTCTGGAAGCAGAAGCCCCACATCTCATGGGGATAATTGTGTGGACTTGGGGTCCTATCTCTATACTTCTCAGAATTGATGTTCTTGTATGTGAAATACAAGAGTGGGACTGTTGCATGAATAATAATTATTCACTGAATACAATAGAAAAAAATCATGATATCTAAATAATATGTGCAATGTGATTTAAATATTATTTATAACCAAATTAATATTAAATATTGTTAAGTAGATGTTTGATTATACACAGCTCTAAAAGCTGATATATTCCAGTTGTCTAAAGTAAAACTTTGTTTTGGTATCCTCATTGAAAGATGGAGAATCTCCTAAAAAAATAAAAAGTCAAGGTTGACACAGCTTGATGGGTTTAGGGAGCTTCTGAGGGAAGAAAATAATTTTTGGACAAAGGTGCTGTGACACAAAGAGAGCGCATGTCATTTGGGTCCACCCTGGGGCCCGCAGCCTCCCTGGGACAGTGCCTGCACCATTGCGATGATTCTCTGTCTCTGCTCATTGCTGCACAACCCCTCTTAGAGGGCTAATCCCTTAAATTCAGGCTTCCTTTCAATGACAAGCGTGTTCCCTGATTTTCTGACAAGGATGATAGCCAGGAACCATTTGGCTGTCTGTTCCATCGCATCTTGCCCAGGAGAATATTTCTTTTTTAAAAAAAAATTATTATTTATTTACATATATATTCTTGAGACACAGTCTTACTCTGTCGCCCAGGCTGGAGTGTAATGGTGCGATCTCGGCTCACTGTAAACTCTGCCTCCCAGGTTCAAGAAATTCTCCTGCCTCAGCCTCCCGAGTAGCTGGGATTACAGGTGCCCGCCCCCACCTTTTGCTAATTTTTGTATTTTTAGTAGAGATGGGGTTTTGCTATGTTGGCCAAGCTGGTGTTGAACTCTTGATCTCAGGTGATCCTTCTGCGTTGGCCTCCCAAAGTGTTGGGATTACAGGTGTGAGCTACCATGTCTGGCCTCCAGGAGAAAAAAAAACCTGGTTACTGTAGGCAGAATAAGTGGGTTGGATGATTTGTACTTCCCTGCATTCCTATTCCCCTCATTTTAATGGTGTAGAAAGTAAGGTTGAGTGAAAGGGGGTGTTACCCAAGGTTACATAGTTAGATACTGCCAGTCCTGGGCCTAGAACCCATATTTTTTAATTCATAGCTTTTCCCAAGCCCCACACCTCTGCTTTCCTTATCAACCTGCACTGGCTTTTTTTTTTTCCAGAAAACTTCCAGGTGTCTTCTTAGTACTTTCAGTGCTGTGAGTGCAATAAGTACACTTGGAACTCACAAACCCAAAAGAAATGCAGTTTTCAGCCAGCCGTGGTGGCTCACACCTGTAATCCTAGCACTTTGGGAGGCCAAGGCAGGCGGATCAGTTGAGGTCAGGAGTTTGAGACCAGCTTAGCCAGCATGGTGAAATCTCATCTCTACTAAAAATAAAAAAAATTATCTGGGCATGGTGGCAGGTGCCTGTAATCCCAGCTACTCAGGAGACTGAGGCAGGAGAATTGCTTGAACCCGGGGGATAGTTTGCAGCTAGCTGAGATTGTGCCACTGCACTCTACCCTGGGTGACAGAGCAAGACTCCATCTTAAAAAAAAAAAAAAAGAAAAAGAAATGTAGTCCTCATTTACCATCATCTACTGGTTCTTAGAAACTGTGATTTTAAGAAAAACAATGTACAGCAAGTCCTTAAGTAAACATCCTTTTGTTAAAATGATGAAAAAAAAATTGGTTTCATTGTATGTCATCATGCTTAGTTGCCACTTCCAACAACCTATCAATGATGTTAAGTGAAGACTTACTGTCTAATTGTCCAATCTGCTAAAAACCAGGTAATAACCTTTAATACCAACTGTGGTTTATTTTTGAAGCAGACATATGAACAGGTAGTTAAAATGCAATGTGATATTTGTTGTACTAGAAGGATGTTCAGGGCGCTGCAGGAACCCAGAAGAGGGACTAATTAACTCATCCTGGGGGAAATTAACCCTGCTTCTCAAAGGTGGAACATTTGAACAGGTATGAAAGGATGAATAGGAGTTTATCTCAAAAGGAGAGGGGCAAGAAAGAGTATTTCAGAAGAGGAAACAGCATTTCTTACAGACAGAGAATCATGCAAAAGTTTGGTGTATCAAGAGACAGCAGAGATATTGGGCATGGCAAAAACACAGGGTGTATGGCAGGTGAAGTTAATGATGAAACTAGAGAGAGACAAGGTCAATTTGCAAAGGGCCTTGAATGCCAAGCTGAGGACTCTGGCTTTAAGGTCAAGGGAGCAGAGAATGTGTGATGAGACCTTGTCTGACCTGTTCAGTTCTCTTTTTTCATTCTGCTTATGAGGCTATGTTATGATGACTGATGTTTGGGCATCTGATACCAGGGAAGTCTGTGGAAGTCATTTTCAACAATTAGAGCAGCATTTCTGTCCTGGGCGCAGATGAGGAGGTCTCCCTAGGGTAAGCCAAGTGGAAGAGAGGGACAGTCCCCTTATTTCCCTGGATAATGTCACCTGTGGAGAGCATCCTTTTCCACCTCTGGCCATTGTTCTTGACAGGCAGGAGAATAAGCAGGACATTCCAGATGCAGTCTTGTCATTAACACCCATGGTTCCACAAAGAATCAGAAAAGTTTTCTCTTTTTTTTTTGGTGGGGTAGGGGAGTATTAAACTATTATTTTTCATGATTTTGTGGATTTGGATTTTCCCAGGACATATCAGTTACCTTTTACTAGATAACAAGCCGCTTTTAAACTTGGTATTTAAAGCAACTAAACTTTATTTAGTTTGTGATTCTACAGTTTGGTTGCTTGGGCTGGGATTCTCTGGGTGATTCTTCTGGTTTGGCCTGGGCTTAGCTAATTATGTCTATGTTCACTCTTGTGTCTGTTTTCAGCTAGTGGGTTAGTTGGGGCTAGCTGGTCTATGATGGCCTCAGGTGGAATGCCTGAGACAACTGAGATCTCTCTCTGCATGATCTCTCATCTTCCAGCAATCTCAACGCCAGGTTAGCTTTTTCACATGGCAGTCTTAGAGTTCTAAAAACAAGAGGAGAATTATATAAGGCCACTTGAGGTCTAGGCTTGGAGAACTTGTCACTTTTGCTACATTTTGTTGGTCAAAGAAAATAATGAGGTAAGCTTAGATTCAAATGGTGAAGGGTCCTACCTTTTTTAAAAATTAAAAAACTCGTCACTGACTTGAAGCTCATGGAGAGTCTTACCTTTTGATGGTAGGATTGGAAGGGTATGGATGAGGGAGGGGAAGAATTTGTGGCCATTTTTTTAATCTACCACTCAAACTAACTTTCATCACCAGAGAGAGTTGATAATTGAGTTTATTGCCTTACTATGAATAAAATATGAGGAATCTTTTGAATCCAAAGTCATGGAGGATCATGTGATTTCTGAAGTTTTATCTAATTTAATCTGCATAGCAACTCTTATTTTCCCTTTCTATTTTATATATGAAGAACCCGGGGCACAGAGCAATTAAGTGAGATAGTGTCTTGCCCAGGCTGGTAAGCCTGGTCTTTGGACTTATTTGTCTGACTGTAACTCTGGAGTAACTGCTGTCATATCATTGTTTCCTATCTTGAAGAGATGAGACAGGGGAGATTGTAGTGGTACTGCTGCATTCACTGCCATAGCCATCCCCTTTCAGATCACCCTCATCCCTGGACACAGGTACCTTGCCCTACTCCAGAGGCTCATTTTCTTATTCCCAGTAGGTTGACTGCTGTTGGGGTGGGCCAGCAGAATAACTATAGTCTCCAGGGTGGAAGTCTTTTGCTGTTTATAGTCCAGAAGCCCACTATGTTGAAGAATGTGTTAAAAACTGATATATTTCTCTGGGGAGAGAGAGTAGGTCAAACTGTTCATACGTTTTGTGTGTGTGTGTGTGTGTATATATATATATATATATATATATATATATATATATATACCCAACGTGGACTAGGGAGAGAGAGCCCTCCAAAAGACCTCTGAGCCTCAGGGGCAGACTGACTGGTATACGCTGTACTAAGAGAAAAATACCTCCTAGATGAGCAGGCAGGGAGGCCTTGCCTTTCTCTGACTAAAGCCTTCTGGAGGCTGCAGCTCAAGATCTTCCAAGTCACCCTGCTACATAGTAACCTTAATGACTGGAGCTTTGCACTGGGCTAAACTGACTCTCTGGATCTTGGCTAGTAATGGGAGCTGTGCTCTCAGGGATGTGGAATGAGGAATGGGAGCAGCAGGAAGGCACCTGATTGTCAGAACCAAAGCAGGGTTACTCTTGTAGCATGGCTTATTGGGAGGGGAGGAAGGTAGGACCAGGTAAAGACAAGGATGTGAGGAGCCCAGATGGTCTGCAGGGAGGGCCCCATTGGGATGGTCATGTTCAGGGTACCCACATAGTGAATGCAGGCTATGGCATCAAATGTAGCTCATTTTGGCACACTTGATTATTGCCACATATCTTGGTGTTGTGTATTAGAAAGCCTTATGTCCAGGCCTTGGGTATAATCAGCCATGTTGCCCTGACTCTACTATCTTTCTTTCCCACACAGAGCTCATCTCCTGTCCTGGGTGTAAACGAGTACATCTTACCAAGGATGTAACTGAACATTTTTTTCTGCAGTGTGTTCCTACTGAGCAACCCAAGATGGCCAGGGTAAGTCAGGACAAGGAAAGAAGCAGCTGATCTTTTTCAAAAATCTGGGAGGCCCCTGTCCTTAAGTCTGTCTATTCACCCATCACTCTATCTGATTTGTTACTTCTCCATCAGTTTGCCTAATCATCCAACCATCCATCTAGAAGAAAATAAAAATGTGTCAGTTGGGGAAAAAATAGAAAAGAGTGGCTTTTCTATTAAGTGAAAATTACTGTCTTTTTTTTTTTTCTGTCAATCCTTTTAGCAGCAGGTGAATGTGAGTTAAGGTATATTAAGAATTGCTTACTGTATCTATAGTTATTCTTCTCTCTCTTACAGCACTTACTGAAAAATACCAGTACTGGGCTTTTGTTTTACTTTTTATCTTCCTGAGTTGAAATTCATGTCCCCACCTCGGTCTCCCCAGCCTGGATTAAATGGGTTTATTAATCTTGCCTGTATTTAAACACTATCACTTTTTCCTGAATTTCTTAAAATTTTTTATCACTTATTGGCTGGCAGCCCTTCTGTTCCTCTTTCCACTAGGGTATCCTTGCCACCACTTTGTATTAATTCGCCAATTTACTTACTTGTTCCTGTGTCTGATTTGTGTTGAATGTCTCACATGTGCCAGGCCCTGTGCTGGGTGTTAGGGAGATAGACCCATGTACTCTACCTTCAAGGAATTCATAGTTTAATTAGTAAAACTTTCAGAATTCATATTAGTTTGGTGGCCTGTGTGATTCAGGCACAGATAGGCCAACTTCTCCAAATCTCCCCTTTTCTTGATGTTTTATATCAGCTCTGGCAAGATATTTGCTTGCTAAATGAATGAACATTTGGACTAGGAGAGGCCTACGTACTCTCAGATCAGGCAGACCCAAGTGTGGGAGCTTAGCTCTGAACACTGGTCTATACTTGCCCTTTCTTGGCTGCATTTGACCATCTTGCTGTGTATTCCCATATGTGGGCTTTCTCCTCTCCAAAGCACACTGAATTTCCTGCCTTTGCCTGTGCTTTCCCTCTGTTATAACATTTTCCTCCCTTGTCTGCCTGGTGAACCTACTTGCCATTCAGTATCCAACTCAAATGTTTCCTCTTTGTAAAAACTTTCCTGGCTACTCCTAGACTGATCTCCTGGAAGCCTGCCTTGGTTTCCTTAGCATGTGTTGCATCCCTTTTATTACAGCATTACTCAGTTAATGCATACCATCCTGTGTGCTATAGATAGCATGAGGTCAGTTCCTTGGCTTATGCATCTGGGTATCCTTAGCTTCGTCACAGGACTTGTGCGAACAGCCCCTGAGACAGCTGCTGCTGCTGCTGCTCCTTCTCCTCCTTCTCTTCCTTCCTCTCCTCCCCCTCCTCCTCTCTTCTCCTCTTCCTTCTTCTTTTTCCTTCTCCTTCTTCTTCCTCTTCCTTTTTTGAGACAGGGTTTTCCACTGTTGCCCAGGCTGGAGTGTAGTGGTATGATCTCAGCTCATTGAAGCCTTGACCTCCTAAGCTCAAGTGATCTTCCCAGCTCAGTCTGCCTAGTAGCTGGGACCACAGGCATGTGTCATTCCTCCCAGCTAATTTTTGTATTTTTTGTGGATATAGGGTCTCACTATGTTGCCCAGGCTGGTCTCAAACTCCTGGGCTCAAACAATCCTCCTGCCTTGGCCTCCCAAAGTACTGGGATTATAGGTGTGAGCCACCATACCTGACATAGCCACTGCTCTTTTGCTCACAAAGGATGCTTCCTTTCACAAGCCCTGACATATTACTCCCAGACAGCTCTCCAGAATAGACTACACTCCAAAATAGTAGAGGAATAGGCATGCAGGACCCCAGTCTTTAGAGGATTTGCCTCTTGTGTAGGCAGACCTAAATGAGGATATTGCCAGTAACTCCAGAACTCTCTGCTTCCAGAACTGCTCCGAATGCAAGGAGAAGAGGGCAGCACATATCCTCTGCACCTACTGCAATCGCTGGCTCTGTAGCTCTTGCACAGAGGAACACCGACACAGCCCTGTCCCCGGGGGCCCGTTCTTTCCTCGGGCCCAAAAAGGATCTCCAGGTACCAATCTTACCTCTCCCCACCCACTTCCATGCTCTAAAACAGGGCTGAACCTTAGGATCCCTGGAGAATAGCTCTCTGATCTTGTTTCCCTACTGGGAAAGAAAGAAGGGACAGTCTCAGAGCCTTTCCCAAAGGAAGTCTTCTTCAGAGTCGGAGTGACTCACTCTAGTCCCTCCCAGTTGGGGGCAGGGGAGGATGAGTGTGGATAAAATGGTACACGGAGGAAAGTGTTGAATTATTGTGGAAGCTAGCTGAGCTCCCTACCTTTCACCTCTAGAGCAATCATGCCACACTTCTAATTTAGTTACTTAGTTAACTTAGTCTGGATCAGGGCTTGTCCATTTGTCTATCCAGCACCATCTATTTTATTTTTATTTTTATATTTTTTGAGATGAAGTCTCACTCTGTCACCCAAGCAGGGGTGCAATGGTGCGATCTCAGCTTGCTGCAACCTCTGCCTCCTGGGTTCAAGTGATTCTCCTGCCTCAGCCTCCTGAGTAGCTGGGATTACAGGCATGAGCCACAATGCCTGGGTAATTTTTGTATTTTTAGTAGCAATGGGGTTTCTCCATGTTGCCCAGGCTAGTATTGAACCCCTGACCTCAGGTGATCCACCCACCCTGGCTTACAGTGATAGGATTACAGGCATGAGCCACTATGCCCAGCCACCATCTGTTTTTAGTAACAATCTTCTTGAAAGTCTTTTCTCAAGGCCCTTGAATTGTGGGAGGGGTTCTACATCTGTCAAATCCAAAGGAACCAGAGTTCATGATCCATGTGATCTATCCTGGAGCCTGGCAAGACTGGTTTCAGCTCCATTAAAAACAAAATCCTGATTAATAAACAGGTTGAGGTTAATTGTGAAGGATTCGTTATTCTGCAGGAGATCTATGTGGAGTAGTAGCAAGTGCCTTCTTTAGCCTCTGGCAGGTAATGGGATGCTGGGCCTTGATGGTGTGCTACTTCCGGACAACTGGGCAAATCCAGCCAAGCTAAGCCCAAAATTCTCCTTGTGCCCCTGGAGAGGCATCTGTTTGTACCACCTTCCCCCAAGTTCTGTGTCTCTGCAGTGTCCTCTGAAGGCTGAGGGCTGTGCAACAAAGCTTAACTGAGAGATCTGCCTACCTAAGCGAGAGAAGCCCACTTTCTCCATCTTCTCTGGCAGGAGTGAATGGTGGTTCTGGAGACTTCATCTTGTACTGTCCTCTACACACACAGGAAGTGCTCAAGCTATTCTGCGAGACATGTGATATGCTCACATGCCATAGCTGCCTAATGGTGGAACACAAAGAACACAGGTGGGGCTGACAGACTGCCTGAAATGGGCTGGGGAGGGCTCTGGACTTCTTGCTTGTGAGAGCTCTGGGGCTCCCCATCCATCAAAATCTTTTCTCTGCCCAAGCCCACCTGCAGCCCCTGGGCTGAAGTTTTTCTCTGCTCCTATTGTGGGACTTCTCTGGAAAAGGCCTACTGGGCCAAGAGCCTGTGGTGCCTTAGACTTTCCCTAGAAGTCATCACAGCTTCCATAGGTCTGGCAGAGACAGTGCCCTGTGGAGATTCCTGTTTGGTTGGCATGTTCAAAGTAGGACTCAGCCCTTCTCAGCTTTTTCTCTGCCTCATCCCTTAGGTGCAGACATGTTGAAGAAGTTTTGCAAAACCAGAGGATGCTTCTGGAAAGTGTGACTACACAGGTGGCACATAAGAAATCCAGTCTACAGACATCTGCAAAGCAAATTGAAGACAGGTAGTACAGGCTAGTGCCTTGCCAGTGCTGGAAATGCTCTGTTCCTACACACCCGGGGTCCCAACACCAGGCCATCAGATATAGTGCCTGTGAAGAGCACATGTGGTTAAGCAGATGTGAACATATGTCCAAAAGGCATATGTCTTGGCCTTAGAGGTCTCAGGGCCAGGGAGTTGTCATCAAGTCATCACTTGGTGACCGAGGCCAAGCTAGGTCAGGATGATCAGAGTGAGCTTGGCCAAAGCATACACCTTATGAACTAGCCGGAAGTCAGTGCTTGAGAACAAGGGTACCAAGCAGACACTCGGGAAGAGGGGGCTGCTTATGATGAGGGTGGAATAAGCCAGGGGCAATCTGCGCTTTATTACCCCTTTCCCTAGGTGTTCTCTATAAATCTGCAAATGACATGAAATCATTGGCATTTTACATAGGAAGAGGAAGTGGTAGATGCTAAGAGCTCAGTATGTGGCAAGCACTGGCTTGGGTATCATGTATGCATTATTTTGTTCAGTTCTTGCCATTCTTTCCATCAGGGATTATCTCCATTTTACTGATGAGGAGACTGAGGTTCACAGAAGTTAGGTAACTTGTCTGAGATCACACAACTGGCCTGTGACTGTGCTGGGTTTGGACGTTAGGTCTGTGGTGACTTCAAAGCCCATGCTTTTTAAGTTTTTAAAAATAGCTTCATTGAGATATAATCTACACATCATAAAATTATTCTTTTAAAATGTATAATTCATTGGCCTTTAGTATGTTCACATAATTGTGCGACTGCACATAATTACTGTCTACTTTTAGAACATTTTCATCTCCCTCAGAAGAAGCCACATAAACATTATTAGTCATTCCCCATTCCTCCAACACCCCCCTGGGTGAAAGGGACCTTTCTGTCTCTTTTTACCTCATGGCAACATTTATTGGAGCATCCTCCATTTAAAGACAACAACAAGTTACAATAAATCATTCCCATACTTTCTCTTTTGGTCTTACCTCTAGTGCTGTGTCAACTGGTGGGCTACTTGTTGACCTGGGTGTAGACTTGAGGTTTACCTAGAGAAAACCAAGCTGAACTTTGGGCCGTTGGCTCACTTAGATGAAGTGGGCTGGGTCGTACAAAAGGTGGGATGATGGAGGAAGTTTCCCTCTCTCTCTCTCTCTCTCTGTATACATATATATGTGTATATATATGTATATATATAGATGTATGTGTGTGTGTGTGTGTGTGTGTGTGTGTGTGTGTATTTGGTGTCTGCTGGGCCCTGATCTCAATAGGCAGCCTCCAGGTTGGTTCTTACGTTTGCTGTCTCTTGGTCCTCATAGGCCATGAGGAAAGCTTACCATGGTTTGTCCTATTGAGTTTACAGGATTTTTGAGGTGAAGCATCAGCATAGGAAGGTGGAAAACCAGATCAAAATGGCCAAGATGGTTCTGATGAATGAGCTGAACAAACAGGCCAATGGGCTTATAGAGGAATTGGAGGTATGTATAGACAGATGGACCAGATGGTTCAGAAACCATGCACATATCAAACTAGTCCCAGCACCCAGGGAAGCCTAGGCTATAATTCAGATATGTAGCTTCCATAGCTGTCTGCTGCTCCCTGTATTTTAAAATGTCAGTCTAATTTTAGGAGGGTGGCTCATGAAGGGCTGGAAAATCAGTTCAAACTGATTTTTGATGCTATGTCTCTTAGGCAGTCTTTCATCCTTAACTACACAGGGTTATTATAGTCTATAGTCTTGGAAGAGAAAGTCACAAAACAAACCACCTTCTTCACCAATTTATGCACGAGATACAGACATTTATTCATTTCCTCATTCATTTATTACTCATTCTATATTTGCACCATACAATCTCCCACCATGTCTTCCTCTCCTTTTCCATCAGCCAGCAGCCCATGGCAGCACTCTGCCCTACTGTCATCTCAGGGCTATCATCTCATCTGATTCCATCAGTGACACACACAGGCCACCAGACTTCCCAAGCAGGTAGACTACAGTCCAATAACAGGTTCAAGGACTCTGTCTTCTCTCTGTACCCAGGGCATTACTAATGAGAGAAAGCAGAAGCTGGAACAGCAGTTACAGAGCATCATGGTTCTCAACCGTCAGTTTGAGCATGTGCAGAATTTCATCAACTGGGCTGTCTGCAGCAAAACCAGTGTCCCTTTTCTTTTCAGCAAAGAGCTGGTAAGAGGAATCTCCCAACTCCTCAGCCTGTCCTTGAAGCTTATCAGAGCACCGCCTTTGTCATAAAGGCAATGAGGCAGTCCTAGGAAGTGCCTTTTCTTTTTAGGAGGAATAACTTCCTCCTTCCATCCTTCAAATTCAGTCGCTGCTTTTGGGTTAGTAAGTAAACAGTATCTGTAACCAAATGCCACAGTGCAAAGAGGATGCAGGTGCTGAAATTGTCCTCCCCTACTGAAGGTAGCTCAGTTGGGAAAATCTGTAGTTCTTTGTTGTAGGTCAGTGATTCAGACATTATCCTGGACATGAGCAATGTGCTGGGCATCTCATAGAAAGTTACTGGGGCTTACATGGGGAGCTAAGAGAAAAGGAGCTGGAGATAAGGTTGAAGTGTTAGACTTGAGAGGATGACAGTGCCCAGGAGAGGGAGCAAGAATTTTGAGAGAAGTTGATGGAGTTTATGTTTGGATACTTTGAATCTAAGGTGCCTATAGAGCATCCAAAACCAACTCTAAGCTATCTACCATGAAAAAGCTGTTTTAATATATATGGGTGTGGAAGTCAGAAGAAAAGTTTGTTTGGAGAAGGAGATGTAGGAGTCACCAGGAAATCAGTGGTATCACCTTGGAAGAGTGTGTGGAGCAAGAAGAGAGAAAGTCAGGAACCCAGGGAATACCGTCATTTTCAGCGTAGACAGAGGAAGAAGATGAGTGGAGGTGAGTGAGAAGCAATGGTCAGAGGTCGGAAGCAAAACAAAGTGTTTTGCTTACACAGAAACAAACAGAGTTTCCAGTTTTAAGTGGCCCATATGTCAATGCTGCATGGGTGAAAGAAGGTGAATAGTGAAGAGCAGCCTTCAGATCTGGAAATGAGGCTATCGTCTGAAAGAAGATCCAGCAAAGTAGAAAGGTCAAAAGCTAGAATCAGGAGACTGAGGATGGGTGGTGAGGAAGTAGAGATGGAAGCGAAAAGAAGAAAAATAAAAACATAGCCTGAGAAGATGGCAGAGTTGGGGGAAACTTTTTTTTAAGACTGGAAAACATCTGCACACATGTATATGGGAGAAGAGGCTGTGAAGATAGAGAGAAGGGGTGTGTGGTGGGGTGAGTCCACTGAAAAAGCAGGAGGAAGGATCTAGAATGAACTGGTGGCCTTAAACACAAGGACAGTCCCTTTGTCTAACATGGGAGGACAGGAAGGGGACAATGTTGTAGTTAAGTTTGAGGTAGAAGGGATACAAGTTTGGGGTAATTTGTTCTTTATGGTGTCTTTTTTTCTCTGTGAAATGGAAGGTGATAATTTCTTTATGGTGTCTTTTTTTCTCTGTGAAATGGAAGGTGATAATAAGAGGGTTAAAACATTGGTAAGTAGCACCAAAGTAAAGATTTTAAATAGTCATTGAGTGCAGTGGAAGAGAAAGATGACAAGAAGTGACAAGATAAAGGGCTGAGGGGTGCTGCTGAAATTAATGATCACTGAAATGGCCACAGATAACATGGCTTTGGTATGGCTGGATTGCCTAAGGGTAGGAGTTGGCGATGGGGAAGGAATTAGGACACTAGTGATGTCATTACTATAAATGACAGGAAGCTGAGGGGTACTGTGGACTGAAGGAGCAGGGCTTGGAGAGGTTGAAGAACATACTCTGAAAGAGCATAAACTTGTTATGACCAGGATGGGTTGTTGGAGTTCAAAGGTCTCATAGGTAGAATGGTTCTAAATGATGAATAGGGTCTAGGTATGGTGACTAAACTGAAAACAAGTGAAGGTGGTTTCATGCAAGAGATCAACGAAATAAGAGGCCAAGATGTTAGTTGGGACATTAGTTAACTAGAGGATGGCAGGGTAAGTTGGAAACTTGCCAAAGCCCTAGATAAATAGGAGAGTTAGTGACAGGAAATAGATGAAAGTGATGGGAGGGGAAGAGGGCTGTTGAATAGGACAGAAGGGTGTTTTACCTGTAAGTGGAAGAACAGCAATGGGGAGCTCAGAAAATGTCTGCCCCCACTAGGCTTTTAAATTGAGGTGATGGTAGAATAATAAATGGAGCTGCCAGTCAAGGTTGTGAAGGAGAATGACAAATCACTTGAGGCCTGAAAAGGATAAGAATGTAGGCATTGCAGAAGCCTTGATAAGAGAAAAGGGATCAGCTGGGAGGATGAGCAGGTGCCAAGGTGCACGAGAATGAGAATATGGAGGATAACAAGAGGTTAAAGGGCCATGACTTTGAGCCTTTCAGCCTGCCCAAAGAGTAAGGGAAGGGGAGTTGTCATTTAGGTGCGAGATGCCTAAATAAATGACCTTTGGTGCTGTTGTAAGATTGTGTTTCAGATGCAGCGATTGCTGGAGACAAGTTGTAACACAGATCCTGGCTCCCCTTGGAGTATCAGATTCACCTGGGAGCCTAACTTCTGGACCAAGCAGCTAGCTTCTCTTGGTGAGCTTGTGCCCACCCACCCAGGCCCACCCACCCTGTGGGCTTTGCCCTAATTGCTTACTTACTTTACTTACTCTTGGTGCGGAAGAGAAAGCACTCCCTAAGACTGCCAGTGGTCATGAAATCATTAAGCAAACCTTTTTTTTTTTTTTTTTTTAAAGGGAGGTGGAGCGGTTGAGGAATTTAAATAACAATGGCAATATAGGGCTTTATATCAGGACCAGTTGAAATCTGAGTTTACCATTCTGTATAAATGTCCTGTTACCTTGGTTTTGTTGCTGAGGGGGAGACAAGACAGTCACCTTGCTCTCCAGAATGCTGTGTGGCAGTACAGATGAATGTGTGTCTCTGTGGTCACACAAAAGTACACATGTGTGGGCACAAGCAGGGGTATCTCTGCAACAGTGAGACTGTGTGTGCATGTGGGTGTGTTACACAGACATATCCTTTTGAGTTGAGATGTAAGCAGATAATTCATGGCCTTGTGCATTTTACTTCCGTGCTGCAATCATTTGTTGGCATTCAGTCTTTAGGCAGAATGTAGACAGCTTGAAGTTGTGCCTGTGTTGACAGACTAACGAGTTTGTTAAACTGATGGCCAGCTGCTGCCTTCATTTGAGGCTGTTAATCTTACTGAAAGTTTGTTGAAGTTGGCAAAGTGACAAATGATATGTAGGTTTATTTTCCGCTTCCCTCTTTCCTTTGATTTAACTCAGCAGACCTTTGATAGCCACCTACTCTTGTTTAGGCCCCATGCTAAGCACTAAAGAACGAAAGGTGAATAAAACACACTTTCTTTAAGGAACTCAGACTTCCTGTAAGCAAGCCTCATCAAAATAATGAGATGAAGTAGCTAACTCATTAGACTGAAGAAGCTAACTCATTAGACTGAGTTAGCCATAGATCCACTCATGCACAAGGGACCTAGAGACCTCATGGGGCAGTGCCAGTACCTGGCACTGACCTGGTGTATTAGTCTGTTCTCACATTACTGTGAAGAAACACCTAAGACTGGGTAATTTATAAAGAAAAGAGGTTTAATTGGCTCATGATTCTGCAGGCTGTAAAGCAAGCATGATGCTGGAATCTGCTCAGCTTCTGGGGGGGCCTCAGGAAACTTATAGTCATGGCAGGAGGTGAAGATGCGCATCACATGGACAGCAGCAAGAAACAGAGCAAGGGCGGAGGTGTTACACACTTCTAAACAATCAGATCTCATGAGAACTCTGTCACAAGAATAGCACCGAAGGGATGGTGCTAAACCATTCATGAGGGATCTGTCCCCGTGATCCAGTGACCTCCTACCAGGAGCCACCTCCAACACTGGGGATTACAATTCAACATGAGATTTGAATGGGGATGCAGATCCAAACCGTATCACCTGGTATTAGAGCTTCCCTACTCTCTTCCATCCTACTTACTCAACACACAGTTCCCCATACCTTGTTCTGGTTCCCCACACACAAGTATCCGGGGACTTGTTCATTGGTCCCAGACATCACTGTCTACCCTTTGCTACTTTCCAGCATATTCCTTCCCCACCCTAAAGTTGATTCTTTTTGTCAGACTCTGATTGGGTCATTCTGTTAAAAAAAATGAGTGGGTGCTGTTTGAGAGAGCTTATGGTTTTCCTAGTGGGACAGAAACAGAGTCAGGACAGAGCATCTGGTGAAAGCTGAGCTAATTTTTCAAAAATTCTGTTCCCCCAAAGCAGCTCCATACAGGTGCTATTACTGGCAGTATTCTAGACTGAGTCTAGGAGATCAGGGCTTGAATTTCTTAATCTCTGTGCCTGGTACAGGATTGTTGAATCAGGTCTTTTTGTCCCAGGAGCAGGAAGTAGCAAAGTGGGAGCAACTTGAAAAACTTTTGAAAAACTCTCTATTCTGCATTTCCAGGCCGCATAACTACTGAAGGCGGACAACTGCCCCGGGCAGATGCTCCTGCTTATGGAGGCTTACAGGGGCCATCACCCTTTTATCAAAGCCACCAGTCTCCAGTGGCTCAGCAAGAGGCTCTTAGCCACCCTCCACACAAGTTCCAGTCTCCAGCAGTGTGCTCCTCATCTGTGTGCTGCTCCCACTGCTCCCCAGTCTCACCTTCCCTCAAAGGCCAGGTCCCCCCACCCAGCATGCACCCAGCCCACAGCTTTAGGCAGCCCTCTGAGATGGTGCCCCAGCAGCTGGGGTCTCTGCAGTGCTCTGCCCTGCTGCCCAGGGAGAAAGAGCTGGCCTGCAGCCCTCATCCACCAAAGCTGCTGCAGCCCTGGCTGGAAACCCAGCCCCCTATGGAGCAGGAGAGCATGCCCCAGCGGCTGGGGCAGCAGCTGACTTCCCAGCCTGTGTGTATTGTCCCCCCACAGGATGTTCAGCAAGGAGCCCATGCCCACCCCACCTTACAGACACCCACTATCCAACTCCAGTTTGGCCACCACCAGAAGCTGAAGCTCAGTCACATTCAGCAGCAGCCACAGCAGCAGCTGCCACCTCCAACACCTCCCCTACCTCCCCAACAGCAGCCACCCCCACCTCCACCTCCATCCCAGCATCTGGCTTCTAGTCAGCATGAGAGCCCTCCTGGGCCTGCCTGTTCTCAGAACGTGGACATAATGCATCACAAGTTTGAGCTGGAGGAAATGCAGAAGGACTTGGAGCTTCTTCTCCAGGCTCAACAGCCCAGCCTGCAACTGAGTCAGACCAAATCTCCTCAGCATCTGCAGCAAACCATTGTGGGGCAGATCAACTACATTGTGAGGCAGCCAGCGCCTGTCCAGTCCCAGAGCCAGGAGGAGACCCTGCAGGTAAGCGTCAGGGTGACTTGGCATGGATACTCTGCCCATCCTAGGATCATTCAGGGAACACAGCCTCCCTGGAAACAGGGCGGTATACAGGAATACAGTTACTTCACCTTAGAGCAGCCTCGAGCTCAACCCTCACATTTCAAAACTACCCTGGGCCCAACCTCCCATCTCTGAAAAGCTCCAGAGAGCATAGTACCCAGTCCCAACTTAGATCTACGCTCAGTTCTCTCCAGAGTAGCTTGGCTTTGCCATCTTCCTGGATGACAGTAGGGACCCTGCCCACCGATGGTACCTTCTGAGCCATGCTGAACTCCTGCCAGTGCCAGAGCAGAAGGGAGGCTGTCTCTTATCTTGTCATATCCCTAGATCCCTTGCCGGACCTTAGGAATCCCAGACAGGGGGAAGGGCAGAGCTTAAGGAGTAGAGTGAGGATCCATGTTAGATGCTGGAAGGCAGCACTTTTATAATACTGCACAGGTATAGACTTAAACTTTTTTACCTCTACTAAGCTGGGAATGTTTGTTTGTTTGTTTGCTTGTTTTTGAGACAGAGTTTCGCTCATGTTGCCCAGGCTGGAGTGCAATGGCGCGATCTCAGCTCACTACAGCCTCCGCCTCCTGAGCTCAAGTGATTCTCCACCACTACGCCCGACTAACTTTTTGTATTTTTAGTAGAGACAGGGTTTCTCCATGTTGGCCAGGATGGTCTCGATCTCTTGACCTCGTGATCCACCCGCCTCGGCCTCCCAAAGTGCTGGGATTACAGGCTTGAGCCACCGCGCCCGGCCAAGCTGGGTATTTTTTATATGCACCATATCATTTATCCTATCAACAATGTTGTTTGGTAGGCATTACCATCTGTGCTTTATAGGTGTATAAATCGGAGTTAGAGGAGGCTAGCAGTCTGTCTACATATCATACAACATTGACAGGTAGAGCTAAGACAGATCCAGGTCTGCTGACATTTCTGTAATGCCACAGAAGAAGTCTTCTTCTCTCTGTAGGAGGATATTGGATGCTGCTCCTCTTTTTCTCAGTCAAAAGACAGTTGAAGAGGTGCAGTTTGTACCCCTGGGATCTTTGCTGCCTTTCACATCTTCATTCTTAGCTCTTGATTTTCTTTTTTACCCCCAGAACATCTGTTCTATCCTCTTCTCTCTACCCTTGTCTCACTTTTTCCATGGTGGTATCCCCTTTAAATCTGTAATCACATTTTTATCTTCAAAGCAACTTTACAGATTTTTACTTTATTATAGAATATAAGGCTTCACATTTATGCTTCAGTACTGGCAACTTCAGATCATGCTTCAGTGTCTTCCCCTGAGGCCCAGTCTTTTGAGGAGATATAGAATAATCCGTGTGATGGCAGAGAAGGGTCTAGGGTTCATAGAGGGCCACAAGCTGAAATGTAAGTCAAAAGTAGGTTATGATTGCTAAAGTGAACATCACAAAATTAGCTCAAAATTCTATCCTAAGACTTTTGCACTAGCATGCAGTCTTTGGAAAAGTTGGGATAAGAGTATTTTTGTTTTTGGAAAATAAGCAGTCCACAGTATGTAGGTGGTAATGATGGGCAGGGCAGGGTGGGTTCTAGCCTTTGCTGCCACTGCTGCTGCTACACTCTCTGCAGTAAAACCCACCCAAATTCTTATTTTCTTCTCCAGGCTACAGATGAGCCTCCAGCATCCGAGGTCTCAAAATCGGCTCTCCCTCTTGACAAGAATACTGCTGCTGCCTTGCCCCAGGTGTCTGGGGAAGAAGCCCCTCTCAGTGTCCCCCCAGTGGACAGCACCATCCAGAACTCCTCTCCAAATGTGGTGAGAAAGGTACTAAAGGAGCCTGTTTTCCCTGACCACATGGAACCCACTGCTGGCCAAGGCCCCGGGCACCTGGAGGAGGATAGGGTTGGGGGAGGAGTGTCCCTGTTCCATCCCTGGATGCTACACAGCTCTGATTCATGCCTTCTCTCCTAGTGAGTCAACAACATAGATCTTCCTCATCACCCATTTCCACTCCCCCACACACGTACAATGGGGCCTACTGGGCTTCATGCAGAGTGGAAGGGGGAAGGGAAAGAAGGCCAATTTATTAAACACGCACTCTGTGCTTGGAACCGTGTATGCTGCTTCACGAGCATTAACTCACCTCACCTCCAACAGTTGTGGAAGTGAGCATCCCCTATAGTATAGCTAAAGAAACTGAAGTCCAGGGCCCTACAGCTAGTAGAAGAGAGAGCTGAGGTTTTTAAACTGAGATCAGTTAGAATCCAAAGCTTGAACTTCCCTCTGCAATGAAGATGGGGAAAATATTTTATGTGGCCACAAGAACCCAGAGTTGGTCGACCTTAAGATTTGATTCAGTGAAATTTGTTGGGTGAGTGGTCTGCAGCGATGTTCTGCAGAGGTAGATGAGCAGCTGAGACACTGAGATCTCTTGAAGATGAGCTCTTGGAGACCTTTCTGTCCACCCACCTACAGCTTGCTGAAAGTGCTCGCTTACCCTGGACATAACCCAGAATCCTACAAATCCTCAACTGTCTATTCTCACTGCTGCCCCTTCACCCCCAACTCCTGTCATACTTTTAGCCGGAGCCTTAGTGCTGTGCCATGTCCTCCACCCATTTTTCCTAGTGCCCCTTGGCCCTGTTCCACTTACCCAATTGCCTTCTGTGGCCTGCTGCCCTCAGCCCTCCAGTGCCTCCACCCAGCCCTGGACTTGAAGCTCTGTCAGATATTCTGAACCCTCCCTGCCTGTAGCCTTGGCCCTGTTGCATCCCTCTGGCCCTGCAGCCCAGCTATGCTGGTTGCTTAGTGTACCTGCCCCTCACCAAGTTTGCCTAACTGTACCATTGCAGTGCATGTCTTAAATCAGTCAGTCTCAATAATATTTGAGAAGAGTTTAGAAAAAAGAAGGAATGGCAAAAATGAAATGTCAACTTGGAAATTGCTAGTGATTCGAGGCTTTTTGTCTGTTCCTGTCCTACCCTGTTGAAAATGGCTTGGTGTAGAGGCCCTTGAGGTACTGTAGATTGGCCCTTTGTGGCTCTTAGATGTTTAACTTCTTGTATTTGGGCCAGCCACCTAACCATTCATCCATTTGTTTATTCATTGAATGTTTTATATATATAATATACATATATACATATATATATATACACACACACATACACATATATGTTTTTATTTATATATGTATGTATGTATTTATATATACATTAATCTCCAAGTATGTGCCGCATATTCTGCTAGGTGCCAGGCATACCTTGGTGAATAAGATAGTCCCATGGTGGAGATTACTGGCTGGTAAAAGAAACAGTTAAGCAACAATAATAAATTGTGGTAAAGTGCTGTGATTGTCATTGTGGTACACCCCAGTGGAGCACCAAGCTCTGGGAGAGGGGGCTGTTGACAGAAGATTTCTTAGAGGACATTATTTTAAGCTGACATTTCAAAGAAGAGAAGTTGGGCTAGTAAAGGGTAGAGGGATAGAACAAAGAGTCAAAAGGAATGGCAACTAGGAAGCTTCAGGAGTGAGAGAAAGCCTGGGGCAATTAGGGGGGCTTCAGATAATTTGTAATTTGACTTGATAGGATCACGAGATGCACTGGGGAATGAGATGGATTGAAACCAGAGGGGTTATAAGCCTTGTAAATTATACTTTAGGGTTGGGATTCAGTCCTGGGGGCTGTGAGGAATAAATAAAGGACTTTCAGAAAGGGGGAACATGGTTTGAATTAAATTGGAAAGATCACTTTAGCTGTAGTAAGGGAGACCAGAATAGTACAGAGGAGGAACAGCAGGCTGAATGAAATCAATAGCAGTGGGAATAAAGAGGAAGCAAATATTTCAAGAGATATCAGATCATAGTAGTCCTAGTCTTAGTGTCTGATTGATGATAGGTAAGGCAAAGAAAGCCCTTTGGCTTATCACCCAGGTATTTCCCCATGTTCCCATCCCAGTGGATTTGTCTTGACCCACTGGGATAGGAGCATGGGAAAAAGGGCATATTTAGGGGAAGAAGTTAAGTTTTGAATTATTGATGTTCTTTTGTGGAGGACACATTAGAAGATAACCTGAAGGCAGCTAGCTCTAGATGTCAGTAGTTCAGAAGCAAGCATGAGAATTGCTGTGACCCGCCCAACAGGTTCTTCCTGCCTGCTGCACAACTGAAGACTGTGGCACTGCAGTAGAGAAAGAGTTTAGTTGATGTGAGGCTGGGATTTTTAAAAGGCAGTTTGGGGAAGGGGTGGCTAGAAATGGGTGCTTGCTGCTGATTGGTTGGGATGGAGAGGAAATTATGGGTGAAAGCTGTCCACTTCAGCTAAGTTGCTTCTGGGTGGGCCACAGGAGTGGGATTGATGGGTCTGGGTAAAGCCATGGATGTCAGACATGCTCAGAACTTGAAAAGATATCTCAAAAGACCAATCTACAGTAGGCCCAAGAATGATTAAGGGAAAGGCAAGGGTTGGGGTGGGTAGGTTAGATCAGATCTTTTTCACTGTCACAATTTTCTCACTGATATAATTTTTGCAAAGGTGGTTTCATTGCCAGTGCTCAGTTGTAGTGGAAGCCATGCAGAAAATGCTGCTTCTCATTTGATGAGGTTAAGTTCTGTTCCTATATACAGAGCAGAGGAAAGGAGCTGAGCCACATGCATGGAGTCAATGATGCCTGTGTGAATGGCCCACAGGGTTCTCTCAGCAGCAAGGGGTGCTGCCCTCTTGTGTGACTGCAAGTTGGCAATGGGGTTAGCAAAGGTCCTAGGAACTCTAACTTCTCATTTTGAGCTTGTCCTGCCCCTTATTAAAAGGGGTTCCTGTGGCGGTTTGGAGGGTCAGATGGCCTGGCATTCTTCAGGTGTTTCATAGGCTTTTCATGGCTTGAACTCCCAGAAAAAGGATCCTCAAGTTTGTCATCCTGGTTCAGAGGAACCTTTGGGTCAGCAGAAAGAGATCAACCCTGACAGTGAGAGCCACTGGTTGTACACAAAACTACTGTAATAAGGAAAAGGGCTTTGTATTTGAGGGAATTTGTTGCCTTGGAGCTGAGATTGGGCAGGGTAGAGGGCATGAAGCTCAAGGATAGCCAACAACATTTTGATAATACTTTGTATAGTATCATTCTAATTTTTTCATAGGTTTTTATGTGGATTATTTCATTTTTATCTCTTTATCCTAGCAATGCTATGAGGAAGTCTCTTTCTTATTCCCCTTTGAAAGATGTGAAAACTGAGACACAGAGAGGTTAAGTGACCCACCTAAGAGTTATGCAGCCAACCCATTGGGCAATGTTAGGACCAGACCACAGGTCCTTGACAGCTCTGTGTTCAATGACTAGGTTAAATTGCTTCTCTTTCTGCACCGCAGTGGGAGAAATAGGATTCCATTTGGCCTCTCACCTGCTGTATTTTCCTGTCTTCGTAACCCTCGAAGTAGCCTGAGGCCTTGCTGGGGAGAGGTCTTAGGACCCAGACTAGTTTGGTATCAGTTGTCTTTATCCAGTAAAGGTGTTTTGGCCTCCAGCCCACTCCCAGCCTGGCTGGCTTGTGAGTGCCAGGAAAGTCAGAAGAATCTATCTGAAAGTCACAGACCAGAAGAATCTGTGGCACCAGGCACCTTTCTATGAGTTCTACACTGACTGTATATCACCATAAGAGGACTTTTGGTGAAACAGAGCATCTGTGCACAAGTACCTTGGAGCTGGTGCTAGTCTGGTCTTCAGATTGCTGCTGAAAATGAGATGTGAAAGTTTTAGAAAGAGTTTTCTAGTGGCTTAAGCTCTGCAACCCCTTTTGGATGCATTTCGACATTTGTCTGGCACCCGCTGTTGCCTAAGCTTCCTAATCTTGGTCCAGCCACTCTGAAAGAAAGACCATGGCTACAACCCTACAACAACAACCCTTACATCTCAAGTGAAACTGGGAGACATTTTGATGGCTTCATTTCACGCTTCTGAACGAGTCAACTGCTGAAAAATACACACAAGCATTTCCTTAAAGGAGCTGGCCAGGCACGGTGCCTCACACCTGTAATCCCAGCATTTTGGGAGGCTGAGACAGGCTGATTGTTTGAGTTGAACAGCCCAAGACCAGCCTGGACAACATGGTGAAACCCAGTCTCTACAAAAAACACAAGAAAAATAGCCAGGCATGGTGGTGCGTGTCTGTGGTCCCAGCTACTCAGGAGGTCAAGGCATGAGAATTGGTTGAGCCTGGGAGGCAGAAGTTGCAGTGAGCCGAGATCGCGCTACTGCACTCTAGCTTGGGTAACAGAGCAAGACTATCTCAAAAAAATAAAAAGCTCTCATGGAGTCAAAGCTGTAGGTGTCACAGAAAGCCGTATCTGGGTCCCAGTTCACCTTCAAGAGGGACTTTTCTTCTGCTGCTCATAACATAGCCCCAGATCTTCAAGAGAGGACTTCAAAGCCACCAGCACGCTGCTTATGGCTTAGGAGTCTGAGATGTATTTCCAGTAAATGATACAGAAGCGGTAGGCATTCCTGTGATCTAGATTATTAAGAGTGATACAGAGAAGTAAAAGATAATGACTTAGGCAGATAATATTTATACCATTATCAAAGCATTTCAGTATCCGATCTCTTAATTTGAGTCTTATAAAAACTCAGTGAGATTTACATTAACCTGTGTAGGAGGAAATTAAAACCCAGAGCTGGACGATGACTTGTTTAAACTCATTAAACTCTGGTAACTGTGAGAAAATACCAGGCATCCTGCCTCCATAGTCTCCAAAGCTACTGCTATGGATCAGATTGTGGATACTCAACCTCAGGAACAATCGCTTAGCCCTGGCAGCAGTATTCGCTCACGT